TTTTTTTTCATGTATTGAATCACTGATAAACAATCGAAGTTGTCAGACATGACAATCACTCATTAATGTTAACAAATGTGTTCATATACTTCACTTAGTATTTGCTGCTGACATCTTTGCTTGTAGTTGTAGACTTGTAGTAGATTTTTATTATTTTTTTTCTAGAAAAAATTCATCAAATCCGAAAGCAGTTTCTTTCGCCCATTTTTCATTCAATTGCTGGGAATATCTAACCTAAATTCTTTGAATATTCCCATTCTGAATCAGTTCAAGATTTTTCTGCTTTATCAATGCCGATGACGGTCTGAAAGCGTCCATGACCTCCTTAGTCTCAACATCCAGATACATACTTCCCCCTTGTACTGGATTTGGCAATACTCACAAGTCTATGAGTGTTGAAAACGAGGAGACCGAGCTTCATTCGGTCTCTTGGAACCAGGACCATGGCTGCTTTGCAGCTGGCACTAGCCGTGGCTTTCGCATATATAATTGTGAACCCTTCAAAGAGACCTTCAGGCGTGATCTGAAAAGCGGAGGATTTAAGATAGTTGAGATGCTCTTCAGGTGCAATATACTTGCCCTCGTCGGCAGTAAAGTCAACACCCAATACCCTCCGAATAAAGTGATGATATGGGACGATCACCAGAGTAGGGTTATTGGTGAGTTCTCGTTCAGATCCGAGGTTCGTGCGGTTAAGCTCAGGCGGGACTGTGTGGTAGTTGTTCTTGAGCATAAGATATATGTGTATAATTTTATGGACCTCAAGCTCCTGTATCAAATAGAGACCCTGGGGAACCCGAGGGGACTTTGTTGTTTGTCGCAGCATATGAACACATCTGTTTTGGCCTGCCCGGGCCTGAGGAGAGGCCAGGTCCGGGTCGAGCATTTTGGTCTGAATGTAACAAAATTGATTAACGCTCATGATTCGAGGGTGGCTTGTTTGACCTTGACAATGGATGGGCTTCTACTTGCGACTGCCAGCGTGAGGGGGACGCTGATAAGGATTTTCAACACGATGGATGGTACTAGGTTGCAAGAGGTAATGCGTTCGTGTATGTCAACCTTGTTTGTTTCGAATCAGCGGAACACTGTTTGTTATGGGTCATTTTTGAGATGGTTTGCATATTGAACTATTCAGTTCATGCCCTTGCTCTTACTTTGGCATATAGCTGGAAACTGATGATTTCTTTTTGGAGAAATGATCATGCTTAGTGTATCGGTCTTGTCTTTTGAGTTATGTGGAAAGTAAGTAAAACTAGGTATGTCGAAAATATGAGATCTGGCTTTCATAACCTCCTTTCCCTGTTTTGTTCTTTTTCATGACTGGTCTTCTTTATCATAGTTTTTTATTTTCCAAAAAGATATCTTCAAAATAAAATACATTATTTAGTGTTTATTTTTTTAAATAATATCCTGTATACGAGTGCAACAACCATAAAAATGTACTTTCAATGTAGAAAGAAATCTCATATTTTAGGAGCAGAACAACAACAACAACATACCCAGTATATTCCCAACTGGTTGGGGTCTGGGGGGTCAGTTGTACGCAGACCTTACCCTTGTAATTATACAAGGAGGTTGTTTTCGTAGCGACCCAAGGTGCATTGCGTCGTTTGATATATTTTTTTTCTAGAAACTTCACTAATAGAAGAAGCACTAGAATTTAATTGAGCCATTTTGGTCTAGTCCATTATTAGCACTATATCAGGAGAATTGTCAACAATGACTCTTCCAGCTCCATTTGCAATGGACAAAATGAATTATTCTTAGGGTGTGCTATATTTTACTCGAGGATTTTGCCAACCTTCTACTGCGCAATTACCAAAAGGGTCTGTTTATTTGACGCGTTTTGAAGCATATTCAACTCTATGATATAGTAAAAATGCAACTTACTGGGACTAGATGTATACTTTTCGAAGAATATATGCATCCATAATTGCACAACATTTTATGGTCATCACCTTCTTTTCTCGCAATCACACGTTGAACAAGGTGCTCCACATTTTCTTACTCTTGCACACTTATTATTCACGTAGTTCCTGGTTTGATGGTTTGAAAGTTTGATCTTGTGTCTGCATGAGATCCACACTATTTATCACCACTTTAGTTATCATTTTACCTTCTTTTTTTGGTTCATCCATCATTCTAGAGTATATTAATTTACTACAGGTTCGCAGAGGGACAGATAGAGCAGATATATACAGTATTGCCCTATCTCCAAATGTTCAGTGGTTAGCTGTGTCCAGCGACAAAGGCACTGTCCACATATTTAGTCTCAGAGTGCGGGTTGTTGGTGAGGATATGTCAACTGATTCGACGGCTGCTAAAAATCCGGAATTCTTTACTCAGCATTCTTCAAACTCTCTTGATCCTCTAATTTCTCCGAGTTCCGGTGCTAATCCTGGATTGTCGTTTTCATTCATGAAAGGTTAGACAAGAGGAATCTTACCACTGGACAGCGTTGCTTTAACAACTAGTTCAGTCTCCAAAATCTGGAAAATGACATTTTTGGTACTTCATTTGAATTCCTAGGGATGTTTCCCTGCCAATTTTAAGTAGGCACCATCAGGACTTTGTTTTTTGGTGGGTGATGTGAAGTTATTATCTATTTGCTTTATCCATAATAGGTCAGTTGTAGTATGTATGAGGCAGCGTAGTAGTTTGGCAGTTATTCTTGGTGACGCATTGCGACTTACCAAAGTGGACTTTTTAACTAAATCAAGCTTGAGTTTGGATTACATGCACTTTCTTGTTCTAATTGTTGTGTTAGTTTATGTACCCTTAAATGATAAATTACAATTGTATGCTGCCAACCCCCTCTGATCTTGTATTAGTTTGTGTGTGTGTAGTTCATTGATAACATGACATGACTTTTGTATGTCAAATTATACTTTCCGGCTACTAGTTTTTGTGTAATTACATAACTAGAACTATGACTCTCATTCCTTTTTTTGTGCAACTCTCCAGGGGTTTTACCTAAATATTTCAGCTCGGAGTGGTCCTTTGCTCAGTTCCACTTGCCGGAGCACACCCACTTCATTGCTGCATTTGGTTCTCAAAACTCTGTTATTATTGTGGGCATGGATGGAAGGTGAAATTAACCACGTGACTCTTTATTTTTCTCACATCTTTGTTTGTGCTATAAGCTGATGCTCTGAAGAGTACAACAACATGATAAAAGTGAAAGACTATTGATGAGATATAGATACTTTATCTGTGAGTACTTGGTGCTGAAAAAGTGCCTTTGAATGAATCCCATTTAAATTATTAACACGTCTTTTGGTACTAACTTTAAGAAATTAAACATTTAGTAGGGTTAGGTTATTAATGAAATTTAATTAGAAAGAAATGAATTAAAGCATATGACTGCAATTTTCAGTAACCTAGATACAACTAGGAATAGCTAAGCAGCCATCCAGTTGAATCTAAGGGTAGCTTAGTAACAATGATTGATTTGCTTTTGTTTCTTCTTGTTTCTCCCTTTGGCCCACAACCAGTTTCTACAGGTGCAGCTTTGACTCGATCAATGGAGGTGCAATGGTGCAGCAGGAATATATCCGCTTTCTGAAAACTGAAACTCGATCTCGATAAGGGCCTGATATGATGGTATTCAGTGAGCTACACAAACACCCTTATTTTTCTGTGTAATTACACCAAGATCCTTTACTTGTATATATAACACGTGTTTATTTCATTATGTAACATTCGGCCTTGATGCAAATAAGTGAAAGGCAATGGGAATACACGGACACACTATTTCGTGTTGTTGGTTGTTACCCAGTGCATACTTTGTAGAAAAACAAAGAAAGACAGACAGGGAGGGTTGTAGAAAGTATAAGTGCTTAATTAGGGGCCAGAAACAGTGAAAAGAAAGGTGGAGCTTGTCAAATGCCTCTTAAAAAGCAGGACGTGCTTATTTCATGAGACACGCCTCGTATGATAAAAACAAAGGCGGGGAGCATACATGTATAAAAAAAAAAAAAAAAAAAAAACTTGTATAATTGGTTATACCTTCTCTCTCTCCCAGCTAGCCATTTTTCCTTGATTACCCAAGATTATGTTTTAAAGCTGCAATTGGGCCGGAAACAGGCGCACAATGGGCCTGGGAGAGGCGCTGCAGACGCGGGCTAGAGACCGGGCTCTCGCGGGCTGGCCCGGACACGAGCGAATGTGAGCGAAGACATGTGAGCGAAGCTTTGGATTCTACAACTAGGAAATCGTCCGGACCAAGGAATTGAATACAAGACTCAAGAATGTCTCGAAGGGGTCAAATAGTGTAGTGTTCGAGAACGCCCAAGTACTTTCTCATCACTTAGAATTGGTATCCGTTGTGCGAACACGAACGTTTTTTAGCGATTCGTCTATGCTATTCCAGGGGTCATACAGACCATATTGCTTCAAAACTAACACCAATTTGGGATTTTCTATGGAGTTTGAACCAACAAAAGGAATGTGCACGTCGTCAAGAGTTTTACCAACCTAATTTTTTTAATAGTTTCCTGTTTTTTAAATGTCATGGTCTGGTCTGGAGTACTGCAATACGAGTTACTTTTGGAGTTTAATTTAATGATGCCCCTTTTTAGGTGGAGCGTATGTTGTGGTTGAATAAGCCGCTTGTTTTCCCATACATAACATAATAAAAATTAATGGGACAGTTTTTTTCACTTCCGATATATACACCCACTTTATTTTACACTCTCATCAAAAAAAAAAAATAAAAAAAAAAAAAAAAATAAAAATAAAAAAAAAATCCACCCCACAACTCATTAAATTGTATGCGATATATAAATTCCATCTTCAAATTAACCGCATAATGAACAATTATGCGAGATTTTTGTCGTATATATATTAATGCATATCTAAATCAGACGCATAGCTACCAGGTATTCGAAACACATTTGCATACTTATTAATCACATATCAAAATTCACCGTATAATATTTGTTGCGTATTTTATTTCGCATATATAGTTATTGTATATACAAATTGATTGTCGCATATTTTACGATTATGCGACAAGGTTTCACATATATTACGTCTCGCATATACAAACTGAACGTATAGTTAACAAGTATGCGGAACACTTACGTATATTATGTAATCGTGTATCCAAATCTAACGTCACATATGTTATTATTATATAAGACAATATTGTCGCATGGTTTACGACTAGCATATCCAAATCTACCTCATAATTTACCATATCCAAGAACTTTTCGCATATTCTGTTATCGCGTATCCAAATCAAAAGTCGCATATTTATGTTGTGCGATATATTCTCGCACAGTTTTCAAATGACATCCAAATCCACCGCATAATTTATCATATGCAAGAATTTTTTGCATATTCTTGTACCGCATATCCAAATTCAACATCACATATTTTCCGATAATGCGACATATATTTCCATAGTTTATGATTCGCATATCCAAATTCAACGCATAATTTACCATGCGATACGTTTCGTATATTCAAGAATCATATATGATATATCCAAATCGAACGTCGTATATTCTATGTTATGCAACATGTTTTCGCATAATTTACGTCTCGCATAGAATTCACAGCTTAATTTGCCATATGCGATAAAGTTTCGCATATCCAACTCCAATGTCGCATATTTTATGATTATGCGACATGTTTTCGTATAGTTTACTTCTCGTATATCCAAATTTATCGCTTAATTTACCATACATGATAACTTTTTACATATTCAACAATCGCGTATGCAAATTGAATGTTCCATATTTTATGATTATGCAACAAATGTTCATTAGTTTAGGACTCACATATCTAAATCTATTACGTAGTATAACTAATGATTATGCGTAATATGTTCGCGTATTTAAGAATCACACATCCAAATCAAAAGTAACATAATTTAGTACTATCCACCAATTTTGGTTGATCCATGTCATGAAGTCATATCTGAAGACAATGTTCGCATAGTTTACGCACGACATTGATTGTCTAATTTTTCAAGTAAAAAACTTAGACAAATTGCATTAGACAAATTGCATGTACCGACATTAGTTGTTGATATAATATATATATATATATATATTATATATATATATATATATCACCATTATTACTACTCATAAATTGTAAGATTTAATTGTTAATCTTTCACTTCTCGAAATAAAAATAAAAATAAAAAAATATTAGCAAGAGTAAAATCTTTATATTTCGATCGAAGCAAAAAAAAAAAA